GGGGGGATAACATTTTTATGGGGGGTGCATTAGCAATAAGTTATCAGACCAAGCAGAGACGATACAACTTGAGGAAATGCGGCGAAATACAACTGCCATAGGAGAAAACTACATTTAGGAAGAATCGAAAAGGCCTTAGGTGGTATGACTCCTCTGACCACATGATAATTGAAACTGCATGCACTCGTGTGACGTGTATAGACACTAAAACTGAAACTGAACAGGCCAAGAGCAGACAGGGAGAAAGAGAGAAAATAAACAAGGATTCAACAACCAGTAGAGTTTGATACATGTAATGGAAAACATTAAACACAGAAACGAAACAATATCATTGAACAGACTACACTGATTACTGAAACATTCTCAATAATAATAATAATAATAATAATAATAATAATAATAAAAATAATAATAATAATAATTATAATAATAATAATAATAACAATAACAATACTAATAAAAATAAGAAAATAATAAAAATTGTAATAAAAATAGTTATACTAAAAATAAAAATAACGATGACAACAATATTGGCAAAAATAATAATAATGACAGTAATAATAAAGTGATGATAATAACACCAAAAATAGCAGAATAACGAATATAGACAATTATGAGTATATGTACACGAACAAAAACAATACCAATAAAAGTCTCAACGAAAGCAATAGTAAAGAAATGGTAGATACAGTTCCTGCAGACTTACAATAAACTATAAACTGAAACCGTACGTTTTACACATCTTTCTCTCTCTTTCTCTCTCTCTCCCTCTCAACGGTAATGTCTGCCGTCTCGAGTGAGTATAAAGTAGTAATAGAGGCAGCCCAGTAGCTGTACAGCCCTCCAGGCCGCGTTTACATAGGGCCCAAGCAGCGAATATACGATGGAGGACACGGGGTGGGGGGAGAACGCTGAAACTGAAGAACGAGAAAAGAGCATCATACATTGGATTGGGGTTAGAGATTGTGTATCTTAGTGCAAATGCTTTACCCCTTTACTTTACTTACTTTTCCGATTCAATGGCCGTATGAGTTCTTGCCTTAGGCCTGATGTTTTACACCTCGGTGGACACAAAAAATGTCATAATTAAATTGGCTAGGCCCCACGCTTCCACACTATCTGCCACGCTTCCACACTATCTGTATGAAAATGTAGCTCGCGCTGAGTAGAGTGCTGCATTCCAGAAAACAGACAGAGAAACTTACTTGATCAGATTAATAACTTCCCATTCGGGAGTAGAACTCAAGCCTTCTCTGTTTAACTTCAAAGAGCATAACCGTTATACCACAGACGCCAAAGTGGGGTTAGACGTATTATATTCCATGTCTGTGATTTACTTTAACGCTCGAAAGCGCCGCTTGTTTGTCACAGAAAAGCAGCCCCTATTAACTACAGACTCGCTTAACCACTTGACAGCCAGACCTGAGAATTGAGCTATGGAGCAGGTCGAAGAATAAAAGCGCATTCCTGGTTTTCATAAACCTCAGTTTATTTATTAGACAAGAATTGGTTGAAGGCTACTTATTTGTTTGAAGTAAGTAGTTTGATTGCGTCGTTGTCTTCTCTCAACCGTCAACACTATCGACCCGACAATGTAAGCGACAGTGCTCTGATCTCGCGGAGACTTTATTTTTCTCTCAGCCACTCGAACTTGGTGGATTTGTTGAAAAGAAACGTATTACCTACCTTTAAGGATTTAAAAAAGACGTCTAGATATGCAGAAATAGGATGAGTAAGTAAATGGAAGACCAGCTGCATACATATTGCGTAGAATATCTTCCATAAACAAGTGCCTTTAATTATATTGGAAATTATAGTCTATTGGAATTAAGCTTCTGGGGTTCGTTATTGCGTATGCAAATGAACATAACCCATAAAATTAACAAATTTATTCAATTTAAATGTTACATTACATAAAACGAACTTCGAGTTCCTGCGACTACTGCTTTATAGCGCCTTCAGAGGGCACATCAGGGGTGGCACCACCGTCAAGGAGGCTCTATCTTAGGCGTCGGTACTACTGTGGGCAATTGGGGGGGGGATTAGTGGAGGACTAGAGGGATGGGGGGATACGGGGATACGGGGAGTGGGAAGGCTGGGGGAATGGGGGTGGGGTGATGAATGGGGTGGGAGTTGGGTAGGGGATAAATGGGGTGGGAGTTAGGGTATATAAAGATATAGGGAGGTATGGATAGTGGGAACAGAATGGGATGGGAAGTGAAGGGGGTGGGGT